GGAAGAGCTCGCGAGAACGCCGTACGAAAGCGGATCGGCGGAGATGAGTGCAGCGGGTGGGTCATATTTCCCCCACTACAGCGCTACACCCACGGATTAAAAGGCGAAATGCCACCCCTACTGCGCCCCCTCCTACTGTTCCGCCGCGAGATCCTGCGTGGTCCGCGCTCTCATCCTCCGGGGGGATGCTGCGCAGTCTCCGGAACAACATTGGCACAGTGTGCCACCGAGCGCGCCCGAAATCCAACTCCGTGTACGGCGCGGTGTCTCACGGATCGTCATCTGACGACTCTGCGAGAATCTTCAGTCGATGGAAACCGAGTAAACCGAGAAGATAGATGTCGACCGCGATATTCTGTCGACTCGCGCTGCCGCTCAATTTCGAGCCGAGCGACCACTTAGGGCAAATGTATAAAACTAACTTATCGTGGATACACGACACGTAAGTCACGCTTTGCGATGCCTGCTTGCAACGTTTTTGCAACGCGAATTTCTTAATATCGATGTAAACATATAACACTATTCATCTGAGATAATTATTATTATCTTTTCTCATCATGCAAACATCGAGCTGTATTTATTATATTATATTCGAATTATTAAGAATAAAAGAATCGTCACGCCGATTAACAAGTTTCCAAAATTGACCGGCGAAAGATGCATCATATCGTGTAGGATTTATCGTATTTACGAAAGCGAAATGTATATCATTTTAGACGTCTTCATGCCGTTTTCAAATTTTTTAATTTACCCGTCCACCCAACAATCCATGTACCTATAGATTCTTGAATCGAACGAATTCGGAAACATTTTCTTTAAAAGAGAAAAGGAGAAAAAGAAAAGGAATTCGTTAATCAATAGTCGAGGAATTTACAAATAAATTCTCTGGCGTCACTCAATCGATTTGGAACAGCCTATATAAGGAAAGGAACAACTGTTGTGAAGGGTCCTTTGTGTACACTATGCCATCTATTATTGTACGTAGCAACCTCTCACCTACTACTTTACATTCTCTACAACATCCCGATAAAGTACATCCTACAAAGCACATTTTATCCAAAGAGTATTCTGCAGAGATCATTTTAGGATATCGCAATGTAACTGTGAGACACTTTAAGATAATCTTAGTTACCTCCCCCACCCTCTCAGTATACATACAGCAGATAACAAGTGCCCTCATATCTGATATTGTAAAGTCATTTTAAACGACGTTCATTTGCGTATATGCTTGTGAGTTTAAAAAATATCGCAAGATATGTACCCCAAGGTAGAAAATAGACGTTATTTTGACGTTAAATTTTGGCCGTTCACTGATCCGTATCCGCTCCGTATTCATTCGACCTGGCCTCCTCTGATTACCATTTATTTCGAAGTCTACAAAATCCTTTGAATGGTAAAAACTTTATATCTTTGGAAGGCTGCGAAAAATACCTTCTGCAGTTCGTCGCTGCGGAAAAATGACGACTTTTGAAAATCCAGAATCATGAAGCTTCCTCAAAGATGGCGAATGGTAGTGGAACAGAACGGCACATATGTGTGGTTGTTTAAATATATATATATGAATATATAAAAAATGTTTTTGAATTTTACTTAAAAAATCGCACGAACTTTCGGAACAACCCAATATTAAGTATCTCTCCAATCTCTTGAGTCGCTTGACGTGGGTTATTTTCCATTAGTGCTTTTATTTGATTCTCATCAATCTTAGTCGGTCCTCTCGAATGTTGAGCGTTTTCGATAGAAATTCGAATTTCTTATACGAAACTTATCGAACTTATCGCAAACAAAAATTGGCACAGTCGATCGCTGGTGACCTCTTCACCATATGTCGCACATATCTTCCCAAACAGCACACGACACGTCCCATGGACGTTCTGTGGACGTCCTTAGGACATAAAGACGTCCTCAGGACGTCCCTAGAAGACCTGTGCTGTCTGAGTTCTTTTTAGTATGCACAACGTTTTTATCCTTACGATAATAAAAAAACATAATGTGCTGAAAATGCACTTTATTTATTATAACTTACAAGCAGTAATTTTTTTGTTTAGTCTGACGTAATAATTATTTTCTACAATCAATTTCCCAACGTTCTAAATAAACTATATTTTATTATTTTTAGTGTTCTCGATAGACGCAAGGATAAATGTATATCGAAGGTTTATTATTGCATGGTTGGACATGTAACTGCATTGCCTAGTAGAGACAAAGCACAGTAGAAATAGACAATAAGATTGACATCATCTGCCGTTGGGCTGTTTGATCCAATATCCCCAAGTAGCAAAAATTTTACCATCTGCTTCCTCGCTGGGATTACGAAATACTTTTATTTTAACACGTGGAACGTCATCTGCGAACAAATAGTAACTACATACTCATCCAATCGCATGTATGTACAATACCATTATTTCTTATCTCGCATCCATATATATTTAGAACAACAATAACATCTAGATTTGAATATCTTCGTGCCCAGGAACAATTATCGCCGCATCATCGGCAATATTACCTTCTTTCATGATTCGATGCTGCGAAATATATTTCGACTGCGTGCTGCAGCTAATTGTTGTAAACATCGTCTGAAGTAGAATGAGTATAAACAAAGCGCACTGCAATGAGATATAAATCCCACGATTATTCAATATGTATCAAATAAGATACCAATATCTGTTCGAGAAAAGATAATTATATACAAGATGTCTGTAGCTAAGCGTCTTCATTTCTGTTGTTTTAATCTCTAAATAAGAATAATAAAACACTTCCAATACAAAACAAATTTTGTTTATGTATCTTAAAATTTTAGTCTCAAATAGTTTTACACTTCTCATTAGAAAAATATGAAAACGTGCAATGATTTATGTAAAATAAAATTACTAATACTTAAACACATTCTTGATCCTGAATACTTTCGTTACTTTAGCCTCTTGTTTAGCTTGTTTAGACAAAAGAAATGGAGCTTTTAATAAGATAAATATTTTTTATATCTTAAAGTTGCGATAATTTCAAACATTTCTATATAAATTTATGTTTTTTTGTAAAATAAATAATTATTAAATTGCCAATACATGACAGATAAAAAAATTTTGCTAATTATATTGATACCTGTTGTAAGTAATAATGAATTATTCGTAAAATAAATTAAGCCGTTTGAAATTATAAAGATAAATGAGCAAAATTTTGCGATAAAAATTAAGTATATAAATTAATTTGCTAACTTTATATTAAGAATTAATTTTGTAAAATAAGTATCCAAGTATTGATTGACATTTTCTTAATACAATGTATTCCCTTGTTAAATATTTATATATATAGAAACCAATATTAAAATAATATATTTTTACTTTTAAGAAATTGTTTGTTCTCTTTAATTCATACATTAATAACACAAAAAGATTATCTTTTTAACTAGATTTCATAGAAGCCATCTTCATAGTGCTCTTAATAGTTCAAAGAAAGATTGAAAGATGTTTACCTTATTTTACAATTCATCTCGCAATATATAAATTAGAAAATGCAAAAATGCATAACTCGAATTAGTGAATGAGTTACTGCGCGATCCATCACCGACTTACCACTGATTTCATCGCTATATTCGCGGTGCGATTGACCAGATCATCGAATTAAAGGAGGTGCTTATATGCAAACGAGTTACAGTATTTAGAGCGGGACTGACGTCGACAGTTCTCTCCGCGGTTTGAAGGATCGTTTTTCCCTGGAGAAATCTGTATTGTCTTACAAGCGACAACGAAAGAAATAGTAAAAACGTTCAACTTTCCAATTGCTTCTCACTTGAGCGATTTGTCTGTAACATTGGTCGGATTCGTCGCGCCGCTGCAAAGACGCGTTCAATAGGCACAGGTACTTCCAAACGGTCACGTTACGATTTTAATTATAATACGATAAATTTTATTATTTTATTTATTTTATCGCTCTCCGTTAGACCTGTTTCAACTTCCATGAATCGCTGAAACAATTTTATACAGATACGTTTTCCCATCATTCGCAAGAATTTCACACATATAAATTCGTACGATTAGGCATGCAAAATTTCTTCGAATTTCCACGTCGAACAACCTGTGGTATTTATTGATGACATGATTAAATTTATCTTTTAAAATACGGTGAAATATCGCACGTGTTAAGAGAAACTTTTAACGCGCTCAACGTTCCTTTTCTTTTCCTGCTGTCATTGATAGCAAGAGAATAATATTAATATTTCTTCGTTTAATGATATTTCGATTCATTTTTTTTTTTCTTTAATATGTTACTTTTATATTTGTGGATTCAGAGTAACTCAATCGCAATCCAGATCACAATCATAGTGTGTTTGGGCAATCCGCAATCCATAGTCTAATACGAGCTTAGTAGCTCGTGTCGCGGATTAAGATTGAGAATGGATTGAAATTTGATGAATCAGAACAAAGTTCATTAAACTCAAGTTTAGTTAAACTTTTTCTAAATTGTCAAATTTCGAACCAATTTCAATCCTAATCCGTAGCGTGACATGAGCGTAAAACGTATCGTAAGAATTAACCAAACAAACGTATAGGATTGTTCAATAATTACAAAGCGTACGTAAATTGTGCTTATAATTAAGCACAGAAGGATTGATCGCGTTGCAATTGACCATCACTAGACCAATCACAACTAGCCGTGATTTGGTGATTTTCTAGTGTCGTCCAATCGATGTAGCCTGTGGTCAATAGAGACGTGACCAATCGAGTCCCACCCGTTAAGCATTATAGTTTACGCATGTTTTATGATTGATTGGACTTCTACACGTTCGTTTATTGGCTAATTGTGCGGAGGCCTTAATAGCGCGCTCCCTGAACTCACTCTCAGGCTGCCTCCCTATGCGGCATAACTTGCGTAAGAATAACTTGCGTCGGCCAATCAAATCGTCTCAATTACCCGATTACCAATTACCACGGCAGATTTGATTACATTTCTTGAATTAGTGTAATCGGTCTAGCTAAAAAGAACAAACCATATTTGTAAAGGCCTTTAGTATCCTCGGCCACAATACTGAACTGAGCTGGTCGCTTCGTAAAAGTAATGGTCTGTAATAGTCTATTTTTCCATAATTTTGGGGCGCGAGTATAAATATAAATGTTGATCTCAGAGCTGTGCGCGGACGCGTTGGAATTGAGTAACATCAGCATGTCGGCAGCGCTGATCATGTAACTATCCCACGTCGTCGCCGTTTTACGAGCGAGCGAACGGACGAGTTTGGAACGAACAGCTCGACGTGTCGAGATCTTTCGGCTGAATGTCAGAATATCGTCTCCGATCGGTGGTTCGAATCGCAGAATACCGAAAATAATTAAGAGCTTCATTAAATCAATCAATTTGAGTGTTCGATTGGATGCCGCATTTCTGAAACTTGGCGATTCTTGCATAGGTCAGGCGTCCCGCTCGCCAACGATTCCAGGAATAATCGTTGGATCGGTTACCCTTCAGTGCGTGTAAGTTGAAGGAGATATATTTATGAAGAGGAACCTGAAGATTAACTTTTGTTCTAACATTATATGGATACAGAGAATATTTGAGCAATGATAAGGTGGAGGAAAGAGGCATAATGATATTGTGTCCCATTCTAAGACATATCCATTAGAATAAAAAAGAAGAATGCCAGAATATCCGCGAATGACAAAATTAGGATATACTATTTTGACGAGATCAAGATCGGATCTGCGGTTCAATATTTAGTACTGACAATTGTATGTGGTCATAGCCTGTGAGAAAGAATGGGCTTCTCCACAAGCCTACAAGGCCAGGCATCACATGAGGCGTTGCTGGGTCGTCAGGATGCCGAGATCAAGCTGCTAGAAACTATGAGAAGATGTCTTACGACAAAGGTTAAGTCTGATCGAGAATATGCCTCTACTATCTCCTCGCTCACTGCTCAGGGAAAGAAGATTGAACGCAATGAGGACCTTGTTGGAAGTCTCATAGCACAGGTAGTTTGTGTGTGTTTGCGCATGCATTGTTGTTAGATATTTGATGCATGTAAAGATATATATGTTATCGTGTATTACAGAGTTGGAGAGATATAATGGACTCTATCGATCAGACGGCAAAGTTGATTAAACTGCAGGCTGATTCTATTGAGAATATTGTGATAGATCAATTGAGCGCTTTGTATTCCGAAAGGAGGAGAGCCAGAAAGCTGTATCAGGAAGAACAGACTTGGCTAAATAACCAGTTTCAACAAGTAAGTAAAGTAGAATATATGTTGTGCGCAATGAAATGTCAATGACCATTGACAGATATAATTCATTAGAAATTTGGATAAATTCTAACAAAAATTACGTTTGTTCATGGTCTACTAAGTTTAACAACTTCTTATTTTGTGCATTATCTTTAAGCTGACAGATGATGTATCTAGGAAAAAAATGGAGTATCAGAAGAACCTGGAAATGTATAAATTGATGAGGTCGCGATTTGAAGAACATTATGTTAAGTGTAAGTATTTCATATTAATCTTGTTGCAAGTTATAAGAACCATTGTATTTGCTTCATAGAAATGCGATACAGTAACATGATATGTTCCAGCTGGTAGGGGTGGTCGCAAGTTGGATGAAGTGAGAGAAAAGTACCAGAAAGCATGTAGAAAACTTCATTTAACACACAATGAATATGTACTACTATTGGGTGCTGTGACAGAATGCGAACATGATTTAAGAACTTGCTACTTGCCAAGTTTGCTTCATCGGCAACAAGCTATTCATCAAGAGTTTATAACTTCTTGGTGAGTTGTATATTATTATAAATAGCCTTAGTATAATATTCAACTTGGGCAGTAATAAAGCCAAATTTTATTCCTTCTGTTATTTTTAACGATAAACAAGATCTTGATGTTATACTTGATTTTTCTATTTGTATGCTACTAGAATGGACAAGGTAAAACATATCATTATGCAAATTAATTGTTATTCCACTTGTGATTCCACTTGTGTTCAATATATTTTTCATAATCTTCCAGGAAAGGAATACTTCAGGATATTGTAAAATACTCAGATTTTACAACAGAAAAATTCCTGGAGATACATGTACGAATGCAAAAAGCAATCGATAGCGTCAAACCTATCGAAGAATATAGAGATTTTATTGAGAAGCATAGGTATATATTTGACACTATGTATTGATTTTTATGTATACTGATTTACATACATTTACCTAAATGTCACGAGTCCTGATGTTAATAGAACTAGACCAGCATCTCCAATCAGATTCACATTTGACGAGAACCTTGTAGATGACACTTCAGGAAAATTGTCACCGAACAAATTGACCGTGGATAATCTGACTATAGATTGGCTGAGAAGTCGTCTGACGGAACTCGAAACTTCCTTCAAGACCACGCAGCAAAATCGACAGAGTCCGCAATTCTTGCAAGAAAACAACAGCGATTCTAAGTACGAAAATTTTCATTAATTTTTAAACATATTAAATATTCTATTAATATCGTACCATTGATGCAGCTGTTGTTCGTAAGATTTTAGTATATTTTATCAATATCTTTGTACATTATGTGTTATCAGGATTTCGATCTTGGACTATTCTCGCGAGCGAGAAGAGTTGAGATTACGTTGTCAGGAAAAGAAATTGCAAAGACAAGTGGACGTCATAAGAGGTGCTCTCAATGAATTAGGCTGTGAGGAATTACCTTCAGGTTGTGATCTTTCCATGGAAGGTTCCTTCACCGACTCACCTACCATTAGCAAAGTAAGTAAATCTGGAAGTATTATTTTTTTCTTATTCTATTTCACTTTTTGACAAGACAAAATATAAGATTTTATTAATATATTAAATCAATAGTACACAGTATGTATACTGTGTCCCTGTATCTCTATCGCTGTATTTCAATTCTTGATGTTAATATCCATATAAAAATGATCAGGTTTGTAATCAGATCTTAGTATTTACGAAAAATTGAAAAATCCCCTAGCGATCTGTAACAAACTAATATCGTATGTAAAATGTAAAAGCATTCCTGCGTTCAATTAGTTTCTCTTTCACTAAACAATTGAATCGCACAGAATTACAAGTTAGTTAGATTTAGTGGTATTACAGAGAAACACAATCCCAGATAGTGGTCTGTTTACACTAAGGAGAAACCAACGATTCATGACAATATTTAAATCACCTTTCAAATCTTTACCAGCAATTAATGATTCGAAAAATGGATTGATTAGGGCAAATAGCGAAGGACCTACAGTCAAAGCAGATAATGTCCCCCCTGTTGTATGTGTTACATAAACTTTATCCGTGTGGTGTCTGAGTGCTCATGTATGCTTCCTGTGGTCAGTTGCAAAGCGATAAAATCCCAAATTCATACTTTTTATGTCAATAATGCAATACAGACTTCACACAACACATATTTATCTCAGCTTCTATTGCATTGAGATGTTTGTATTTTAATCACACAGACTTAAGCAGTCAAATCTTCCCGATAGATTTAGTTTTGTCATTACAACAGATGATGCAAAACTCACAACAATAAACAAATAATTGTCTCGTTATCATGTTTTTATGTATTATATATGAAATTATAATTTTATAATTTATTACAATTATACAAAATGTGTTGCACGTTTATGAATATACATATTGTTTGACATATGTTGAATTTTGTTATTACATACATGTAGTACTACAAGCATGAAAAGAATTCTACGCATGCGAATGAAGGTTTTTATATTGATGTTTCATTAATATTCACTGATGTGTATAGACTTATATTTTATATGGAAATATATTCCAAGCACTTTGTGGCACTAATTAAGAGTGAGATTGTGTTCATCTTGAGAAATTAAATTTACCTTATAGGTACCGTTGCGTGGAATTTCTCATTTAACTAATAATCAAAAAAGTAACAGCAATGGCGGGCTTATGGAGGAAGAGTGGTTTCACGGAGTGTTACCGAGGGAAGAGGTAGTAAGATTACTCGTTAATGAGGGGGATTTTCTGGTACGCGAAACGACAAGGAACGACGAGTGTCAGATAGTTTTATCCGTTTGTTGGGACGGACACAAGCATTTTATCGTACAAACTACGCCAGAGGTAAAAATGAACACACGTATATAATCTTGAAATTATATGAAGTTAATTTATACTTAATTTTTAATTAAATGCATAATTTATAATATAACAGTGCTTGAAATTATTTGTATAAACGAGACGATTTTCGAGTCGCCTTCTTATTTCTGCGTCGTTTCGTTTATACAAATCGTCTCGTTTATACAAATAATTTCAAGCACTGTTATATTATAAATTATGCATTTGCAACAAAGGCTTTGTTTTTACAAATAATACCACACAGGCACTGTTATATACTTTTAGAATTAGAATTTTTAGAATATTTAGAATTATTAAAAAAAAAACAAGAAATTTGTGAACACAGTTCTGGTAAGACGGAATTTCTTTGAGCGACAAATTACATCAAAGCGTGCCATTGTAGGGACATTATAGATTTGAAGGACCCACATTCCCATCCATTCAAGAGCTAATTAGGCATCAATGGTTATCCAGTCTACCGGTAACCAGTCGATCTGGTGCTATTCTTAAAACGCCAATTTTGCGCGAGCGCTGGGAGCTTAATAATGATGATGTCATCCTTTTGGAGAAAATAGGTCGAGTGAGTATATATCGACAATAAGCTCTCCGGCGTTGCACGTGGTGCACGACATAACACGACGCGGGCGGTTTTTTGACGTACAGGGAAATTTCGGTGACGTCTACAAAGCGCAATTAAAGACGTGCAAGACCGAGGTGGCCGTGAAAACCTGCAAGGTAACGTTACCGGACGAGCAGAAACGCAAGTTTTTACAAGAGGGCAGAATACTAAAGCAATACGACCACCCGAACATAGTAAAACTTATCGGTATATGCGTCCAGAAACAGCCGATTATGATTGTGATGGAACTGGTGCCCGGTAAGGCAATAATTTTATTGCGAGAACACGATACGTCACGTTAATGTAATAGTACGTGTAATGTAACATGAGAATAACTGTTGTGCTAAAGAGGTATTAGAATTTATGAAGGCTAATCGCTAAACTTTAGGTGGCTCGTTGCTCACATACTTGCGAAAGAACTCTGGCACGATAACACAGCGAGAACAACTGCGTATGTGTAAGGATGCCGCGGCTGGTATGCGCTATTTGGAATCCAAGTATTGCATTCATAGAGACTTGGCGGCTCGAAATTGTCTCGTAGGTAAATGAACTTTGTCTTAATTGTACTTGGTAATTTATGTGAGTAAATCTGCCATGTCTCGAGCGGTATGTAAATACGTTGAACACAAAATCTCCGCAGGATACGAGTGCATAGTCAAAATTTCCGACTTCGGTATGTCGAGAGAGGAGGAAGAGTACATAGTTTCGGATGGCATGAAACAAATTCCTATCAAGTGGACCGCACCGGAGGCGCTGAATTTCGGTAAGTCGCAACGATCTCACAATAGTCCGAGATATATATTTCTTGGCCATTTTTTCAAGTTCCACCTTAAGTTGATATAAATGCAGCCTTGATGTCCTACAATTAATTAATAATAAATTGTTATCATTGATTATTCTCTTATCATCCATAGATAAATGTGATGCGGAAAATATTGCTCATTGCAAAAATAATATTTAGTCATATATATCGCGCATAATGTCAAAATTGTGCTATATCGCAATGGCCATCAGTGTATTTAAATTGAGATTAAATCAACGTTCATTTTAACTGACGTTTATGCAAACTTAGATTAATGTCACTATTGGTGAAATCAGGCATTGATAATATAAAATTCTTCGTATTGAAAAATATCGTGTAAGAAGAAATGATGCACATGATATTTAGAAGAAACTATCTATAAGAAAATGGAATTATTTTATATTTATTTAAAAAAATAATAAATATCGAATCACTTACAAATAGTTACTTCTCTCTTTTAAAGACATTTTCTGTAGATGAAAAATGATTTCTATCAAAATTCAAACGGTTTCGGTCGAAAACTTTTACCACTGTGGCATCTCGTTAATGTAAGAAGGTACCGTTTTAGCAGAGCGTTTCAACCTGTTACAGGTAAATACACATCGCTGTGCGACGTGTGGAGCTACGGAATCTTGACATGGGAGATATTTTCCAAAGGCGGCAATCCGTACAGCGGTATGTCGAATTCGCAGGCCCGCGAAAAAATAGATGCAGGTGAGAAAAAACAATGGAAAGGTGATGAGTGGTCGATTACGATTAATAATACTCGTGTATGTCACTGTGATGCTTGAGTAATAAATAAATTAGGATTGTCACATGCAGCACATTTACGTACGTTTGTCATATGTATCTCGCTAATTAATGCATTGTTCCGTTAGGATATCGAATGCCAGCTCCAGATGGAACACCTGATGAGATCTACCGTTTAATGCTGCGGTGTTGGGAATATGAACCGGAGAAACGGCCGCATTTTGATCAAATATACATCGTAGTTGAGACACTGTCTCAAGCGTATCTGTGAGTATTATATTAGGAGTATTTTTATGGATTATCCAGAAAGTAAACAGTATATATCAAGTTGATGTTAGCTTTTCCCGATATTAAGTTTCCCGACCGTTACTTTGTATATTTACGTCTTGCCGAAATCTCAACACGGCAGTCCATGAGATTTGGAATTTGAAATGTACAAAATTATTGCAAAGTCGAATTATATATTTTATAATTTAGGTACGTGTATTTTATATATATATATATATATATATATATATATATGTATATATGTATATATGTATATGTATATGTATATATACACATATACACACACGTATATTCGTCTACGATAACGCTTTGAATACTTTTTTTCTGGTGAAGTTAGGAACTCATCAAATCAGTCTCGATTACAAGCCACTACTCACGGAATGTGAGTACATTCAGTGTCATGTATGCTATATCATTCCTTAGATCGAAAATTACACAATTTTCAGCCTTACGTATATACATGTAAGGTCAAAATCAGTATAACCCTATCATTATATAATTAGAATTACTTGCACTATTTTAAACATTACATGAATTATGTATAATGAAAGTCATGTAATTTTTCTATTTGGGATGTGGCACAGAATACATGATGCTGAATGTACATTGAATTTCAAAATGGTTTGAACACTTCTTTTTCTGATACAGCTTGGATGGTCCGATGAGAGAATTTTTTTTTTTTTTTTTTTTCAAAAACGAATTTTCTCATTGGATGTTTGCGTTCCGAATATATCAAGAAAAGTGTTCGAAATGTTTTGAAGCCCAGTGTACGTTTCATCGAAAAAGACATGTGCAAATCGTGTAAATGAGTGTATACGCATCTGTGAAAAATATATATGCTTATTAATTGCCATTGTGACATTTATATAAAATAATGCCAATCGCGAATGTGACATATTATCTTTTATATATTTGCGATGTTATAAATTATTATATTTCTCTCCGTCCACACACACACACACACACACACGCGCGTGCGCGCGCGTATTAATATAGTTTATGTTACAGCAAAAATCTCTGTATTTTTTTTATAGTATTTGAGTATATATATGAAAAATATATGAGGTGTGACGTATACTTTCGTCTTTATCAGTGTACGTTGTGTATTTATGGATAGAAAAATTGTCTCGCTTTTCTCAATTTGTCTCGGAACGCATTCCATTCTATAAGAATTATAGCTTTTTTTTTTTTATATACATAACAAAATATACGACAGTATACAAGTATAGAGAAGAAAAAATCCGACTCTTGGCAAGCAATGTACTACATGTGTAATGTCGTTCTTATAAATGTTATACAGCAATATAACATAGTAAATTATAATAGATTACACAGGCTTATATGATCTAGCTTAGTTTCGAGTTTCTTATTGTCAAAAACCTTTCTAACAACTTTCATGAGATCATATATTGTATCTTTCTAATTTTATCGCAAATAATACTGCCTCTTCGTCCACACGTTTCTTAAATCAGCTCTTAATCGTTGAATTCAATGAGAAATAATCTGATATAATTCGCTTTATATACTTCACATTATATTTCAAAAGTGACACATATATGTTAAATGTCTATTGATTTCTATATTATCCAGTTTAGACTTTACACACAACTGTATTTGAAATTAGATGTTCCTTGCAAAAACCTACGAATAAAAACTATGTCATTCTTACGCGATAAAATGCATGTCGAAACGTCTCGTGAGACAATCTTTCTATCCGCGAATATATCGTACCTAAACGTGCGAACTGTCGTATGACTAGACAACTTTAATGATTTATTATTTGTAAAATATTAGTCGTGGCATTTTCTTATTAAAATTTGTGCTTCCAAAATTATTTATGGAATTTGATCTCTTAAAGCTCCTGTATACGCAAAATTCTCAGTATATGTTTCCTCGCTTCTGACGTCGTCAAACAAGGACAATTGCAACGAATATACAGGAGCTTTGAGAGAATTTCCATAAGAGGCAGGATAACCTCTGTATACATTCATATATTTCTTATATCATTATGTATTATTTTCCATAGTATATCAACATATAGGCTTTATTTATTTAATTCTCGCATCGTCTGTGTTCTAATTAATATATTGTAATAAACGATATATGTATATTGAACCTTACAATTATGTATTATTCTCTGATATATCAAATTGTACAATTACTGTAAATTCATTACATTTGTGCACAAAAATCAGAAGCGCAATTAAAATATCCTAAATTTTGTATATAAAGTACGCAACTATGATTTTATCAATCTTATAATTTATTGTATTCATGTATACATGTTAATACCAATATATTCCCGTTATGCAATACATCTTAACCAATCATGTTACTGTATACTTGATCAGTTAGATATTTAAAAACTCAGCAATTGTATATTTGTGTAGATTGAATTCTGTTCAGTAAGAATAATACATATTGTCGATAATTAAACTCGAATTTTTAATATCAAGTTCAACTATTTTATAAATTTTTATCTTACATGTACGTATATATAACAGAGAAATTAAAAAAATAATTATAAGGAACGAACATTTCATCAGTGTTATATAGTAAATATAGATCGAGTGTAAAGTACGAGACCAACAGATCAGGCAGAAAAAGACAATTATATTCGCCGAGTCTCCGTCTTTCTCTAATGAGAAGAAATGAGGATAACTCGACAACTGAGCACCCGATCGTTCATATATTAGAACAAAAAGGGTAACTTTTGCGATATTAAAGATAAATTTGTATTATATATGTGAAAGAGGAAAATCCTATTTACTCACTGGGACTCGATTTTCGAATTATTCGTAACTATTCGTATACCTAACTTGCGAGTAATATACAATGAACGTGCTGCTTTTATGGGATAACTATACACTCATTGGATATCACTCGCAAGTATATACGAATAGTTACGAATGACCGGGAGAATCCCGATTGACCACCATCACAACCAGCCGTGATTTGGCGATTCTCGCTTATTATGGCTTCGTGTTGTCCTTGTATCAATGTGATATTCTCTGACATCTTTTTACTTACACACTGGGGCTCGATTCTTCAATTATTCGTAACTATTCGTATACGCAACTTACGATGATACCCAATGAGCGTATTGTTTTTACGGAAAAGTAATCTTACATTATAGTATGTAATTACACACATACACACACACGCGCGCGCACACACACACACACACACACACACACACACACACACACATATATATATATATGAGTTTACCAACTGCTATCATATAAAGAATGTGTGCAATAAAAAAAAAAGAAAAAACCCTTATCTTGATGTTTTTTATGTAAATATTCGATGTATAAAAAACCTTAACTCAGGAACAGTCACCTTATTACTTTTTTGATTTCCTATTTTATTCAAAAAATAAATCTATATTTATAATGCTCCCAAATAATAACGAATTATAGAGCAATCGATGTTACATTGTGTTAATAACAGCGACTTTTAACTGGGGTCTAAATGACTATTCCTGGGTTAATAAAGATTATATACTAATTAGTATTCTATAAGAAGTACAAAAGGTATTTTTTGACATGTTTTTCCTTCTCGGAGGATTTTATTTTCTTAGACAAAAACGAAAATAACAAATTCTCAAAGTTACAAATATAATTTGATAAGTTCGTCACTAACAGCTGAAGGTGTTAGAATTCCCAAGTCGGTGAACAACAGATTGATATATTGCGGTGGAGTATAATCCACCATAGGATGTTCTTTCTTTAAGTTTTTGTTTAAAGTACTGGACGTGTACTAAAACATAAAATGCATTATACATTTTATTATATATTTCTCAAGTATGAAAAGCATATATATATCTTGCAATTTACTTTAAACTCGTCGGGCAAATCTATCTGATTTAAAGGGTAGATTCTCGAAAATTTGAAGCTTTCCGTCAATACATAAAATGGTTTCTTCATTTCTCTCGCACAGATGGCCATTGTGTTTGTGCCTATCTGTAGAAGAAATCTTAAATCATACTTTTATAGTATAAGAATTTTTGCATCGTCATTAAATTATCATAATGTACCTTGTTGATTACACCGCCACTCTCTGCAACACCTTCTGCTCCAACCATTACCATATCCACTTTTTCCATCACATATCCCATAGCAGAATCCAAGATTACTGTACAAGATATTCCTAGATTTGTCAAGTTTCGACACATCTCTTCTCTGTTTGAGATAAATAAAGCACAGATCAGAGATCATAATAGTATTGCAACATAGATCATAAGAAAAGATATATACATGTGTGCATATTCAATAAAAAAAAAAAGGTAGATTCATACCCGCTGTTATCAGGTGATGATGATGTTACGTATACTTCAAATATTTTGTTACTAGCAGCAGCTTCCTTCATTGCTTGCAGTACTACTCTTGATTTTGAATGTGTGAGTATAATCTAACATAAATGATATAACAGAAAATCGATATGAGTAGATATTTGATATTTTTATTATATTAAGTATAAATGTATTATCTTACTGAACCATCAGTAATAAATTGTGCTGCTGCCTTGGCTATTTTTCCTCGCGCAACAACAAGTTTCTCATAGAATGCTTTACCTCTACCCAACATGATACCTTTGCATACTGCAAATGACTGAAACATGATATAAAGCTTAATTTGAATATAAAAAACAAATATATGGAGAAATTCGATTGTAACAGTCTAAAACAAGCAATTTAACACTAATATCGTTACAGGTGTATCCAGCGTTGCTAATGTAATAAAACGAAGGAACAATTCGCTCCCAGAGGCAATTGCAGTAACAGGATTTTCTGTAGAACGCATTGCATCTATTGCTTCTTGTAAACAAACCCGAAGTTCTTGAACCGTTTCTGCTGCAATAACAATAAAAACATGCGTAAAAATAAGTTATATCTTATCAAGTTTATAAAATACTTACATTTAGAATGTTCCAAAACTTTTAATAAAGTACGAATAGCAGCCATGCCGGCAGATACGTCTGTTTCATTTCTAATGATACTGTCAAAGTATTGAGAAATCTCTGGAAAAATATTTTGGGAAATTATTTCATTACTTAATAAAAAATAATAAATCCAATGGAATCCAATGAAATCCAATGGTCAATATATGTACCTTCTTTCTCCATTGTTATAATTTATTAGTTTTACTCTTAGTTGTTAATTCTTGATTATCTTGATTGGTTGTTAATTCTTGTTTTATATCTTATCTGTTTGTAATAATTATTATTTTATTAATAACAGTTACTTGACGAGAAGTTTTTAATCACTATCAATATTGCAATATCTACCATTTGTTAGGTCTATTCATTTTCACTGCACCACTGAACTAGTGCAATAAGTTGAAGCGAGACAAGTATATGTTTTCTCACTTCAACTTATTGCACTAGTTCAGCTGTGCAGCGAAAACGAACAGGCCTGTTATTGGCTGGATACGTCGGCAAATTCTTCCTCTGGTGCTAATTCCACATGTCGTACGAGTATTATCGAATATGCCGATTGGTTATTCCCAATATTTTTCCTAGATATTTTAAAAATTTTCAATCCGACAGCCAATTGGCACATCCTACAATATTCGTCGACACGATATTTGAAATAGCACCTTTCTTAGATGCGTTCAGAAAGCTGCTGAACTGGTGCAATAAATTGGAGCGAGACAAAATATACTTGTTTCACCAATACTGCTAAAAAGAACAGACCAGGTATAAGTTAATACAAACAGTGCAAGAACAGAACACGGATTCCAAGTTTTATCCGGCAAATATTTGTACTAATATTTGTTTCCTCTTATCATCAACCTGTATTTTCTGAAACGATTTTAACAGTGAAAAATTATCTTACGATGAATCTGTTATGTACATGTTTTAACGCTTTTGCCTTAAGAAGTGGAATGCGATGTGCGGTGAATTACGAAGGTTAGACTTGTTCTGTAACATATATTTTATTATAGATATATACGTATAATTCTCTTTGTATAATTATATTGTAAAATTTTGTGTACAGGGCAGAGACATATTAAAAGATGGGTGTCACCTACACTGAAAGAATTAACTAGACGTAAGAAGCAGGCGATTGAAAAATCGGAACAAGTTCCGATCCCAAAACGCAACACCTTTCTAGATTGGAATAGATCTGCGGAGATATATGCATTCAACAAAAGACTGTCCGAAAATTTCAATATTGAGAAATTGGAACAAGCTTTCACCCACAGATCGTACATCATTAAAGAAGAGCAGAGACAAAAAGAAATGGGAATAGAAGATCCTAGCCTAGATATAAATGATAATACTACTCTCATTATGAAAGGCGAGAAACTCGTATCAGACATTGTACAAAATTATTTAACTGAAGTTTTACCATTTGCACATGAAAATGTCATAATGTATGTATGTGTACTTCATATTAATTCTTAAATATTTTATAGAATTTTAGTAGTTTTATCAGAATAACAATTATATTCTCTATTATTGATTGTTATTGTTTAAGTAAGAGAAAAGTATTCGTCCAATTTTACAAGTTTGCTGAATTGAACACAAATGTCATTTTGTCGATATATCATTTTATTTGAAAGTATAACGCAAGAAACCTTTGGCTGTTTTCTTGCTTCTGACATAATTAAACAAAGATAGTCATAGCGGCTACTCCGAAGCCTTAATTATATTTTCAAAATTATTCTTTTTATATTATTATTGTATTATATTATTAGTAACATGTTATTACATATTAATAGTTACATTCTCTACATACACAGGATTTTTTATTGTAAATTATCAAAATACAAATATAAAGTATTCTACATTATTATTTTAACATTATTATTATTATAACATAATACAAACTTAATCATGTATATATATTTTTTAGGTCGTTACATGATTACCTTCTCTCTGAAGAAATGCTGGCTACTGCATCTTTACATATTGGAACCAAAGATATTATTCTAACTGAGGTGAATATATATATCAGATGTAATTATGAATTTATATTTCAATAGAAGTTTATAAGCGTTTTTCTCCGAGTGAGATGATCACACACAAGCTCTTTTCTTAACTTAATTTCTTAATAAATGTTTATTTACAGGAACATCCTGTGGCACAGAAGACTTTGGCTGATACTTTTCTTGCTCTTACCGCTGTACTCGCAGAAAGTGTGAACACAAAGCATGCGGGAAATTTTGTTAGAGATTTTTTAATTGTAGTATTAGCTGAGAAAGATTTAACGGAGATATGGAATCCGTCTCAGCCATGCGAAATTTTAGATGACATTCTATGCAAACAAAATAGATCTCCTGCTGAACCGAGACTCATCCGTCATACTGGACAAAATACACTTTTATCAGCATATCACATAGGAATGTATTCCGACAAAAACTTCCTAGGTTCAGGTATGTAAGCACTTATTTGATTTAATATGTAACATTAATATATTAATATAGTATATTTAACATATCTCGTTTATAATGTTTCCTGTAGGATATGGTCAGACTATTCAAGAAGCTAAAGATGTAGCTGCTATAAATGTCTTAAGCCGAATGTTCGGTTTATCAGATTCTAGTAATCCAATAAAATTTAACAAAGTGGTGGATATATCTTAAGCTATAAGAAAGGAATACTTAGTAAGAACAAATTTTTAATAAAAAAAAAGAAGTTCTGTATATCCAGATTGTCAATTTTTCTGTAGTTTCAAAAACAGTTTGCATATTTTGTTACAGATATGTATTTGTGTGTGTGTATATATATATATATACTAATATATATATATATATATATATATATATATATTTAATATATATTTATATATAACTTTTATGATCGAACAATCAATAAGTTACAAAACGATATTAAATATATATATATATATATATATATATATGTAATATGAAGCTTGTATTTATCATGTAATTATTACACACTTTTATATTCAACGTATCATTATTAAAGTGTATAAAAAACAAACTAAAATTAATCTTTATAAATATATGAGCAAAAATATGCATAAAAAGTTGACAAATGATAAAATTTTACAATACTTCTGTATTATAAGAAATCAAGGTTTCCGAGTAGTCGCTGTGACTGTCCTTGTTCAATGACGTCAGAAGCGAGAAAACGCATGCTAAAATATTTTGCGTTAACTTTTCAAGTAAAAAGATGTATCTACAAAATGACATTTGTGGTCGATTCGGCAGACTTGTAAAATTGGACGAACACTTTTATGATCGAACAATCAATAAGTTACAAAACTAACATAAATAAAATTATAAAATAACAAAAGAAGATTCCACGCCAAGTTAATTTTTCATCTATTATCCGTTTTAGGCCAGTATTCATAGTCGGATTTTATATTTAAGACTGTCTCAACTTCATTTTCAGATCGGTTTCGTAATCAACGAAATGAACTGTACAGAATCTGAATGTGAAACTGGCTTAAGCAAGCGGCATACAATGCTTGTTTCGTGCTAAATTGCTGCTGGATAGAAATACTGCGTTCTGATTGGTGCATTTCCAAAAATGGATGCCACACGTCAATCAAAACGCAGTATTTCCATCTAGCAAACAATCCAGCACGAAAACAAGAATCGTGTGCCGCTGGCTTTAGAGATTGAGATTGAATTGAAATTTAATCAATCGGTGCAAAGTTCACTAAATTTCACTAAACTTAAATTCAGTTAACTTTGTACTGATTGACCAAATTCAATCTTAATTCCCAATTCGTAGTTTGATACGGGCTTAGAGCTTAAAGCATGTATTGTAGATCGGAACTAATGACTCTCTCGTAGCTAGTGCGATATGCGACGAGCGATATCCAATAAGCATACTGCTTTTTTGGAAAAGCTGCACGCTCATTGGATATTGCGTGTCGCGTGTCAGATCGCGCTAGCCATGCGACAGCCATGAGCGTCCAAATCGAACGCACTCAAAAACATTGAACCTGAAATGTAGGCAATGTACGTGTAAAAAACAGTAGTTTTGTACAGTTAAGTTATATATTCAATGAAGTGATTTTTTTTCTAATCAAGCTCATCACCCCGTCATTGCCGGCTCGACAAAGGGACGAACATCGATAGTAGTTACAACATGCGACAATGAGGATATTTAACAAATTTCTCGCGACCTGCGTCGTATTGCAACTCTTGTGTCATATATGCACTACACACTTACTTATAAACGTCAAAAATCAGGTACTGGTATATCGCACGCTCTCTTTTTATCAATAACAAATACAGTAACTTCATTGGTACGCGAAAATTTTATAGAAATATATCGCCTCGCGAATATAGTTTCAACAGTAGTACAAATAGTATTCGTGTTAACCTCAATGATATCTTAACGTAAGCATGGAGTCTCTTTTTTACGATAATGTAGATATGTTCAAGGCAGAAAAATGAAATTTTATTGTTATCGCTCATAACGAAATATTCCTTGCTTATAGGGTGGTGACATTCTTCTGGAAACGATCTCATCCAATGTCACAGAAGACATAATCACTTTAGAATTCCAACGTTCCGATGGCACTCTGGTCACACAGCTCATTGATTTTAAAAACGTGATTATTCTCTGAATATAAAAGTTCTCATAAGTACATTGTTTCATCGAGATTTATATATATGTCTATTGTTCAATCTTATAGGAGGTTCAAGTCATAAAGGCTTTGATACTTGGTGAGGAGGAACGCGGACAAAATCAATATCAAGTCATGTGTTTTGTAAATCATTTTTACAAAGTAGACTTTATATCGTCTGATGCAATGTCCAAATTACGTCAGAAGAACCCAGGTACTGTACGTGTAGCTGAAGAGGACAAAGGTCATGTCAACTATACGATGGACCTGTTTCTTGATGTTGCTCAGTCTAAGGAAATCTCAAAGCATGTTATCACACTTTGTGGTGAAGCAGCTGGATCAGCTTACACCAGGAACAACGATATTAAACAATGGATTCAGAGGCCAGGTGAATTAACATGTAATATATAATTGTTGTAAAGGGACTATGTATAATAATGCAATAATTTTTTATGATATTGCTAGGTTCCTCCGAAGAGCTACTCTTGGCTGCTATATATAACTTTACAACCATACCACAAACAGTTACAAATGATACAAGATCCTTGTTAGTTTCCAAATGTGCCGACACATCCAATCTTTGGGCACCTTGTACGTGTTCTCTGGAATTATGTATTGGTTGGTATCCGTGTGGTTTAAAGTTTTGCAAAGGAAAGTCTGATGGCAAAAAAATAGCTAGCACTTATCGCTGCGGCATAAAAACTTGTAAAAAATGTTTCATATTCTCATATTATTCTAAGATGAAACAAAACTGTCTGTGGGACGAATGACATATAAGGACATTATAGATTGAAAAATTGTTAAGCACGAACTGAAAATATCGAGACACAAGACGCATTGAAATAGATAAAAAATTCCCGAATGATGAATTAGAATTAATTTTGAAAGGCTCAAACAACTCAAAGAGGTATTTTATAATATTAAAATGTGAGATAAAAAATGAGAACAGAACAAATCGAAATTTTGAGTATTTTTTTATTAATTTGAATTTGTAATTATTTCTGAACTTATTAATATAATTACTATTATATTTAATAATATATTTTAGGCAATTAACATTTTATTAATATTCTCTTTAGAAATTTACTTGAATATGTTGGATGAAAATGAATATTATATATGTTAATTTTTTATATATAATTGAAACCAAAGCAAATCAAGCAAAAATATTTTTGCAAGATTATTAGATTTACTATCTCTAAAAAGAAAGATATAGCAATATACGCGGATTATACTTTAGACAAATTTTAGAGGGATAGAATTTATAATTTATAATTGTAGATGTAGATTTCGGTCAGGCAGTCTTCGTATTCAATTATATAAACTCGAATGAGTGGATATTTGTAACATTTAGAAACTATTTTTCGCATAATTTGCACGAAAATCTCTTCGATCTGATACATTCCAATAATTGTAATAAAATGTCACGAACGTTACCATTTCTAATTCTACTTTTATACAATTTACGTTCTTATAAAAAGTTTAGACTATGTTGCATTGCAAAATGAACACACACACACACACACACACACACACGTGTGTGTATGTATAAAATATTATTTCTCGCAATCAACAGTTATATTCCCTAAAAAAGCTGCCCCGTAGATATCTTCACTTGTGTGTACTGAATTCATTCAACATTCCCACTATGTTATATTATTTACATCTACAAGAATTTCAATCATTCCAATTGTTCGCTCCGATTCATAATTGTCAATTCTTACGTATCCAAAATATGTCCCTCGCCCATTGATCGCATGTTACAAATAATCCATTCAAAGTATCAAAATATTCCGCTTTATTTCTCAAGACAGGAATATATCTCTAGAGATCAGTTTGTACGTAGACAATTTTATACATGACTTGTAAAGCTGCCATTTATACATTGTATGTGTACATTATATGTTCCAACTGTACATAAATGCAGACACACACACACACACACACACACACACACATGCGGATACGCAAATAACGAATGTCTAACGATGATCTAAGCGTGTATACATATGAATTCGTGTTAATAGGATCAAAGATCTTGTACAGTCTACATCAGATATTTGCAATGTTGTGTGAGACTTTGTAAGAATATTATCGATTTATATGAACACTATAAGGTATCTACGATTTGTAACGGATGTCTTTGCACGTTTCAATGAGAGTATATACCTAGCGAATCGCTGTGAACAAGACTGCAAAATCTGTCCATTTAAACGTTTTTTCTAACGGCTCGGGCACCGCTCGAAGTTCCCCGGAATCTCCCTCGCTCGTGTATACATTGCATTTAGCAGTGACAAGGATCGTTAAGAGCGAAAAAATATACATACGTATACTTACGCTTGTAATATAAAAATCCGGTTATTTACGAAACGTTCACCACGTGAACTATCTAGCAGTACTTGGTGTTGTTTATAGTTAGCAACCACTGCGAATAATATGTATTACCGGCGCGTTAATGATATACCAGCGAAAATATACTCCGCACGATTTCGCGATAGACCTTATCCGTCTATTATTGCTTTCTCAACGGTCGATCGTTATGAATGCAAAAATTAATCGAGGCAGCGATCATGTAATTTCCTCTTAGAATGGAAACGCAAAAATTCTTTCACATTAACTCAACGACAATTTTAATCATGTAACTTTTCAAACCATGAAAACGTGGAACTTTTCCTTTTTTTTTTTTTTTAACTGATGAAACGTGACAAAACGGAAATGTAGTGAAAATCCAAATATTTTTCAGCTAAATATCATTCATTCGTATACATACATACATATGTATATGTATGTATAATATAGGCTTTTCCGCAAGGAAACCTATCAACTTCTGCAATATATTCTAGAGGTCATTCCAGACAAGAAAGTTTAGATATACTATGGATCAGTTCAATTTAGTTTTCGAGATATAGACAATAGGTCTGTTCGTTTTCGCTGCACCGCTGAACTAGTGCAATAAGTTGAAGTGAGAAAACATATACTTGTCTCGCTTCAACTTATTGCACTAGTTCAACGGTGCAGCGGAAACGAACAAACCTAATTTTAGTAAGATTTTAGGTGAAATGTTCATCAATAGAATAAGCAAAAAAATATCAGATATTTATAACTTTTATTAGAAGAATATTATTCTTCTAATTATTTGTTAATGTTGTCCATCTTCGGCTTGCGAACATGCTGCTGCTTGTTGTATCTTAGATTTCCGCCAATTTGCCTAAGTTCAAGTTGCGCCCGAATACTATCTGGCCCCTGTAACTTTATCAAATCCTTGGTATTCATGAGATAGTTAGTTTTCATGACTCTATTAAATCTTTTTATAAAATATATGTAATACAATGCCCCAATCCAAGATATTAATTAGTCAGTTCGGATCGTCTCTCTCTCTCTCTCTCTCTCTCTCTCTCTCTCTCTCTTTCTCTCTCTCTGAAAAAGTAAATTGAAATGTTTACAAAATGTCGGGAACAAATCCATGAAGGATACGACATTAACTCAGAAGCCAGTATTTCTCCACAACGCGAAAGCCTAAAATATATTAATTAATCAATCAATCTGAGTTTAGCGATTTTATTTTACACGCATATTTAACTACGTAATCGCTCAGCGATTCGTGGAAAGTTCACGCGGAATTAAGATGAGCGAAAGTGAAAAATGCCACTCAAAATTGCATGATCGCTACCTTAATGAGAAACGAGTGTGTCGAGATCAATAACGTACTTCAATAACGTACATTTTGTGTCTGCGAATACAATACTCGATAAAACGTTGAGATTTCCGCAGAACCTTAGCTGTTTCTTCGGTCAGTTCCATGTTTTCATCGTGCCATTGAAACGGTCCTCCCCGAATCGGATCCTGAGACGTTCCGTAATCCTTAGTATTTATTTCGTTAAGCTGTTACATGCGTGCGTGCGCATTTACATTCGCGAATCAGTACGCCTTCTTCGTACTCAATGTGATCGCTGTTGATTATATGTTAGAAATACTTTTGAATGTAAAATGTGTGTGTGTGTAATTTTTCAGCACGTATTCTTAGGACAGGTTTGACCGAAGTTGGAAAATAATTCGTTACTTATAACGTCGCGTTACGAGTTACTTTTTTAAAGTGATGACTTTAATAGCATTTATTCTTTCTTGCCGGTCAAGACAACAGGAATGTAATTATTTTTTTTTTTAAGTAGCGATAAAGTGAACATCGTTATTTTCATCGTTACTTTCGCAAGAAGAATGAGAATGTGTATGAGATGACTGCAGCGTAAAGAAAATTTTCAAAACTGTGAAAAAAGTAATGAAAATCGTTACTTATTGAATTACCATGACGGTAACGAGTTATTTTCGAAAATCAACCACAATACGACGTTACGATGCAATGTGTAATAAATTATTTTTTTAAAGTAACTTTTCCAATTTTAGAAAGAACTGTCGAGGATATTTCTTTCTTTGCGCGAAATTCAAGTACACCGAAACCGTACTAACTACTTTGATTTTTTCATAAATTCGACGCGCACAAATTGACAGCAGACATTTCGGCAGCTTTTCGACAAACAAACCAAGAAAAGCGTAACTGTCATTGAGAGAATTTCCTTATTGTTGAAAACTTCCGCTTTGTTATCTCCTTTTACTCGGTTGTTACTTCATTCTCTGTGTTATAAACCATCGATAAATTATATCGGATGATGTCAGCGTCACTTATGTATACACTATTGTATCGGTAAAATAATATGAATGTCACGAACGACTCCATTAAATATGTATGCATAAATCAATGGGGATTAATACATCAAATATATAATAAATTGAATTCATAAATAGCAATACGCCATTTATCTAAAAAAAATGTATGTACATAGATTCACGGAGGAATTCGGAAAATTTTCCAAGTCCTATGTCGGATGTATCGATTTTCGAATTGAACTATTTCAGTTGCGGTAACGACTTTGTATAATTTTTGCGAAAAGGTGAAAGAGAAAAAAACGAAAAGACAACTTGTGCAATAAGAATTTTGAGATGGTTCAAACCAAGTGTATTTATATGTTTATAGTGATTTATTTAACTTTTACTTTCATGTATCTGTGCTTTAATCAATGAGCGATGTTACATTTATTTAGTGAAACTTTTTCAACATATGCATACTCGTAGTAATATATCTGAGACTTAGCGCATAAAATAATTATCTATTAGGAAATTTGAAGTATTTTTTGATGTTTGACCATACTTTGTATCAACCCCCTTTGATTAGTAATTTATAGGTACCGATACTACATATGATTTCAGCTTTACACACGATGTTGTAACTTATACACATATTTTTTATATATATTTAATAAAAAGTATTAATATACATACATGTGTGTGTTTAATGGTGTATGATTTTTTCGAAACGATACTTTCCTGGTAAATCATTTTAGCTGTATAATTATGATTAAAATTTATTTGCATGATATGTTTACTTAATGAGAAATGATGTTTCTGGTACGTAAAATTCACGAAAATAACTATCGGATGTCTCAATTTTCAGTGGAAATTTATATTTTAACTGAAAGTACAGATATATATTAGTATTTAATGTTCTATCGTACAATGTGTGTGTGTGTGTGTGTGTGTGTGTGTGTGTCATACATGTACAAAGTGAACCTACTGTATATGCTATATATATTGCGATAAAGTGAAATGACATCCCGATGAAAAACATCCACGTGCAACCGACGTGGAATCCACCTAAAGAAGTCGATTCGTTACGTTAATATTACGTCAATTCAACGGATATTCTCATGGGGATATAACAACGTACTCTTCAGTTGCGAATTATATGAACATGTAGTATGATATCCTTAATTGAGAAATATTTCGAAACGAATATTAGTAGAATATAAAATGTTACTTCCGGCGCACTTTGCTTGGGAGACAAAAGAACATTTAAAAACAATGAAAAAAACGAGGCATAATTTTTATTTTTTCAAATTCAATAAGACAAACTCATATTTTAATTTTTATTGTAAAAACCAAATAGAGCGATTCCACAAAATGCTACTTCCACGTAATGCACAATGACGTTAGTCAGCTTTTTATATTCTCAATATTAACACGTTGACTGCCACGGAACTTTTCACGATTCTGGTCTAAGAAGCCAATTTGATTTAATCAAGTAATGAAGCGACGAGATAACTCGTAGTTGGCGTCCTGGGCGAGTAAACAACCTACGAGATATCTCGTAATTGGCAGTCAACATGTTAATTAATTGTATTATAGTTGTTCGGATCGGTGTCGCACGCCAACGGCCAGCGGCAACGTGGTGCGCCGGCCAGCCAGGCTTCCGCGGCGCGCCGCTACGCGTCGCGCGACTCGTAGTATCACTACGAGTTTCTCACGCGCGACTTCACTCCGAGCGGCTATATAACCGTGTGCGTAGCAATTTTTGGGCTCCATGTACGTCTTCTTCTCGAGCTCTGACCGACTGATCGGTGATTATTCTCTTAGTGAAAGATGGTCTATTCTGTGTGACAGGTTTTTGTGTGCGATCGTCCGTGTGTTGTGGCCTTTTATGCGTGCCACTAGTTTTTTTCCAGTCATATGTTCGAGATTCTTCTCCGTGGGAACTTTCCGTTGGAAATTATCAATCGCCTGGAGTGTGTGCCGATTAACAATAATCTCAATACGCGTGGATCGCCTTCAATGGCATCTGGGAACGTGTTGTTAACAATCGTATTTCCGCACGCTGGTAGATTTTTCCCATACTCTATAACTTCTTCTCGTCGTCAAGGTCATCTTCTCATGTGCCACCATCGTCTTTTTTCCAAATGCGCAAGTTCCTATGTATACTGGTATTCATTTTGTGAAACAATGATTTCACCAGTATCTTCTACATTATTTATAAATCCCACTTTCTGAAGGACTCTTCTATAGCTTCGTCTTCTTGCTGAAAATATACTTGCCATTCTTCACTCCTTTTGCACGGGTCCGAGAGATGAGCCTTTGTATTCTCAAATTTCTGAAGTGCGCAACATTTGGATATTAACCAAAAATACTTTTCATTTAAGGTGGCCTGAAAGGTGAAAATTGAAAGTAAAAAATATTAAACTGATTTTTATTAAAAGAAAAACATTAAAATAACTTACAAATAAGTATTCAGATTCTTCAGTTGGAGAGTTTTCTGATAAAATTCCTCGATGACCAGAATAAGCTTATCTTTACACTGAAGTAACTCTCGGTCTTTCTGAATAAGTTCTTCATTTCTCTGAATAAGCTTATCTTTGTACTGATGTAGCTCTTGGCCTTTCTGCAGAAGCTCATTTTGGTGCTGAAGAAGCTCATTTTGGTGCTGAAGAAGCTCATTTTGGTGTTGATGAAGCTCATTTTGGTGCTGAAGGTGCTGAATCTTCTCCCGCATTTCATCCTTTGACTGATTCTTCAAGAGTTTATACTGTTTCTGCAAGTCATTCAGGGTCTTCTTAAGTTTTGCCTTATATTCCTCCAGCAATTTATCCTCCTGTTTCTCCTGGTTTTCATACTTCCTCTGCAATTCAGATATCTCCTTCTCCAGCAAATCATACTGCTGCTGTAATTCATTCCTCTGCATACGGAGACCTTTTATCACCTCCCGCAATATATCTTTCTCCTTCACCAGCGATTGATACTGCTTCTCTAATTTATCCTTCTCTTTTCTCAAATGCTCATTTTCATGTTTAAGGAGTGTCATTAAAACATCTTCTTTTTGCGCCATCACGTATTGTGTTGTTCCGCTTTCCTAAAAAATAAGAAAAAAATTACTATGTGTTAGCAGAGAAAGTCAAGTAATGTTTAATTAGTGTATCGGTGACTTTATATTTTTATACAATTGAGATTCTTTTATTCTTGTTACTATTACGAGATTTGTACGCATATTGTATACTTGGAACAAATAAGATCATCGGGGTAGGCCAGTGGAGGTGATTTAAAACGATAAAAAAAAATGAAAAATGTTAGAAACAGGCTTTTTATCCCTTCGATAGAGCTGGTGCTACTCTGAATTCAACACAGAAACAATAGACGCAGTGGAATTAGCCTCTAGTAATAAAATAGATAAAGTGATAATGATACTAACCAAAGTCCTGCGGGTCCTGCCGGCACTTTTTTGATGGAGCTATGGAGCTGATCTACGAAAGAGAAGACAAATTTGAATAAGTTATGTTGTCCGTAATCGTAAATTCCACTGAAATAGCCTACACATACGTTATTGTACCACTTCGGCGGTAATACGTCTAGAGATTAAATCAATAATGAAAGAAACCGACACTTACCCTTCTACTTGTGCATAAGCGTTTCCCTCCAATACTCACAGTTAGAAATCAACAGTTAGAAAATGACTGATCAAACTTTCCATATTCGCCTCGTCGCCAGCTTTCTATTCTGCTGAAAGCCCATATCAGACTGCGGGTTAGAATTGAGATTGAATTAAAATTTGGCCAATCAGAGTAAGACTCACTAAACTCAAGTTTAGTAAATTTAGCTCTGATTGGTTAAATTCCAATCCAATCTCAATCCTAATCCTTAGTCTGATACGGGCATAAAGGACGCGTATACTTTCTTCTTGGTCTCATAGATGGCGCGTGTACTCGCTTTTCGCATCGATTTTGCTTTATTTTGTTGCTGAAGCTGGCCAATTTTTTCGAGTGGGGAAATGTATTTTCTGCTTATTTTTGAAAACTACTTTTATATTATTTTTAATGCGCTTCTGTGTGTGTTGGTGTGAAAATGGAGCTTTCGATTCGATGTGCCAGAAAATCATGATTTGTAAGAGATTTTTAACGACTTTTTTGTTATTTTTTAATATTCCGACTGGAGATGGTTTAGAAAAAAAAAACTAAGACAACATTGTATTGAAAAATTGCTGGTATAAGTTCCCCCATTTTTTTTAAACTATAGTTTTTCGTGTCAGGAGACATTGTTTTTGAAGGTTTTTATGCTTTAAATATTGATTTTTTAGGTTTGTATACCTCGTTTTTGACAAGTTTTCATTAATTTTTGTATCTCCCAATCAATTTGGTCCAGAAAAATCTGTCTTTTTATGCAGGATATTGGTGTCTTTTTTATGTATTTTTTATGTAAAATAAGTCACTTTTTAGGATTTAAGACCTTGCTTTTGATGGATTTTTCGTCAATTTTTAATCTCCCAATCCCATTTGCAGTAATTTTGACAGCAATTTTAATCTCACGATGTGAAAAATGCTGCTTTTTCGTGGTGGGAGACAATGTTTTTAGGATTTAAAATCTCGTTTTTTGAGATGGTTTTGCTTAGTTTTCATCTCCCAATGCCGAGAAGAAAAAACGGTTTTTCGTACTGTGAGATTGTATTTTCGTGTTTTTTATTGTTTTATATCTCGTTTTTAACGTGTTTTAACCTGTTTTTTTAATTTCCCGATTCCTGATGCGTCAGAAAAAATATAAGAAAATTTATATCTTTCAATAGCGATTGGATGTAGGCTTTTTCTTCGTTTTTTGCTATTTTGATGGACGTGTATCTCTTTTTAATTATTTTTAAATGTTTTTGAAGGATATATACCTCGTTTTCGGTGGTTTTTAGGTGTTTTTTGTCACCCCAAGCAAGGCGCCAGAAATATCCACAACAATTTTCGTAGTTTCCTGGTAGAAGATAGTATTTATGAAGATTTTCAAGATTAAAAATCTCGTTTTTGAGAGATGTTTATATCTCATTTTTATGGTTTTTAGGTATTTTTTATCTCCTAAGCAAAGTGCGCCAAAAGTAATTTTATTCTCTACTAATATTTATTTATGATCGGTTCTATTAAGTACGATACATTAATAATAATAATAATATAATAATAATAATAATAATGTTAATTATGAATAGTAAATATAATAATAGCGATAATAATAATAATAATAATTTAATTTGTAACTCAAAATTGTTTACATGTCTCTATGGGCGTCAAAAAATTATTTTGCACCTTTCGCAATTCTATTGGATTAAAAGTGCAATCCCTATGCGAAAATAGCACATTGCTCAGTAAAAATATAATTTACCTACAATAAGAATAAACACATCGATTAAATTAAGAGTGATAATTAAAACTAAATTTTCCGACGACGGAAGTCTAACAATAAAAGTAAAAAAAATCCACCTATAGGTTTATCTCGACTATCTCGATGCAAACGCGAGAACTTGCCGGTGCAAAACATTCCCTGATATTTCAGAAATTTTTCCTAAATTAATAAAAAAAGGCGTGTGTAATTGATATCTTGAATGTCTATCGATATGTTGAAGCCTCTTTTCCGGGATGGTGATTGGCTGTCTCGGAATCTTGATCTCGATGCGAGTCGTTGCTTACTTCGACTCGCGGTCTAAAATATATAGACCCGTATTCTGAACGCGCTCACGACATTGTCGCGCTAACAAGTCAATTTATTAGTAGTTCTGGGCAGGTATTTTGCTATAAAAACGCGTAATTATCGATTTTTCCTTATAGAACATTGTTATTATCGCGTTTTTACAAGCGATACTAAGAATGCTTATATCTCTTGACTTGATGGCGCGCTAACATCGTTGCAAGCGCGTTCTGAATACGGTCTGAAAGTCTTTACACATGGAAAAATGTATAGTAAAGTCAGCGGCACACTGTGCTTGTTTCGTGTTGGATTGTATGCTGGAAATACTGCGTTCTGATTGGTGCATTTCACCGCCAGCACTTCAAATCTATAGATACACGTAACACAAACTGTAGATTCGCGGTACTGACAGTGAATATCGTAACGCACTTTAGCGCATGTCCGTGTCTGAAAGACGGTATTGCAAAAAAAAACTCTCTAATAACGTATTTCAGATACGGCGAACGTTAAAATGCGTTCCGGTATGCTGTGCTGCTATATTATCTTTAATAATGAGACTACGAAAAGTGATGTCTATGTGTGAGTATACAATTCTTTGCAATTTTATGCTACACTATTAGGTACGATCCATCTGTAACTGCAAATGCTTCGACGTGCTTAAGAAAAAATACGATTAGTCTATACATCGCTTCTCGAAGTATTTGCAACGTGGAATGGATCCTACTCTGTATCGGCGGTCTGTCATTATAATAACCGTAACTGTTTATATTCACATCTAATCTTTCAGCTACGGTGCACTTCAAATGATAAACGTCCGTTGTATATGGAACAACAATTGCAAGACGGTCGCTGCGGGGTGTGTAACAAAAATCAAATAAATTGATTTTTCATGCGTTGAGCATATAGTTTACGCATCCGATGTGATATGACGCGATATTCATTTGTTTTTACCGATATTAGACAATACGTAACAATATGTTCATAAAAACGTCATTTCAGAAATGAGTAAGAAAATAAATGTTTAGTCAAATTTACTTAAGCGTATGGTCAATCACAAAAAAGTTACAATACTTTTTTTTTATGAGTTTCGCAACGTGTCTCGTATCCAATAGGAAAATGTATTTCCTGAAAATGATTAAGAAACAAATTTTCCCATTAAACACGGAATGCGTTCCAAAATAAAAGAAAAATATTGCAACTTTTTAGACCATGGTTGCGTTCGGGAATCCACACCATGTGCATACCACTAGCACTCTAGTCGTTTAGAAATGATCAGGATTATTGCACCAAATCCGATTAACCTGACCGACTGATTAACTCAACGAAATTGACCAATCGGATTTGCCAATTGGTTAAACTGATCAGTACGATTGGTCAATTCCGTTGAGTTAATCAGTCAGTCAGGTTAATCGGAGTCGGTGCAAGTCATCCTCAGTGTGGTTCAGTGTGCATTCGTGTGCATTGTTCGGAAGTACTCCGAGAAACACATTGAGTATGCCATCAAACCACCCGTCGAAAAAGCAGGGAAAGTCGGTGGGTTACTACCTAGTTACTTCTGTCATACCTCTTTGTGTTGTAAATTTTGTCGATGAATAAAAAGTGTCAAAAAATATCACATTGATACAAGGACAGCATGAAACCGTAATAAGCGGGATTCATCCGATGCTTGATTCCTATGAGAATTTAGTACTGCAAAATGCTCAAGATGAATAATTAACATTGACATTGAAACCATATGAACAGAAATTTTTAAATTCGAATTTTTTTTTCGCGGGTTACGCTTTAATATATACTGAGAATAAAAGACTTTTGCATAGATCTGATCAGTATTTTTTTAGCATTTCGACGATTCATTTTACACGACTTTCGTCCATCATCGTTACTTGCTAGAAGTCACATCGGAGCATTCGGAAACTCTTGACGCACGAAGGTACACGAAGGTACCACACTACTTGCCCACCGAAATCACGAGAACATCACAAGTGGGATTTCCGAACGCAACCTATAGGGTCTATGATACGCTGCAAATGTTTTAGAGCGCTTAAAAAAGTGGGATTGGTCTATACGGTGTGCTCCAGAGTATTTGCAACGTTAAACGAACCGCATATATGCCTTTCATAAATGAACGTCTTTCTCAGGACGTATATATATATATATATATATAT